AGCAGTGTGTCAGGGTTGTATCCTTTCACCATACTTATTCAAGCTGTATGCTGAGCAAATAATCTGAGAATCTGAACTACATGAAGAATTATGTGGCATCAGGATTGGAGGAAGACTCGTTAACAACCTGCGATACGCAGATGACACAACTTTGCTTGGTGAAAGTAAGGATGACTTGAAGCACTTACTGATGAAGATTAAAGACTGCATTCAACAGTATGGGTTACACCTCAGAATAAAACAAAAATTCTCACAACTGGACCAGTAAGCAGCATCATGATAAACGGAGAGAAGATTGAAGTTGTCAAAGATTTCATATTACTTGGTCTTCAATCAACACCAACGTAAGCAACAGCCAAGACATCAGACGGTGTGTTGCACTGGAGAAATCTGTGCAAAAGACCTCTTTTAACGTGCTTTAGAACAAAAATGTCTCCTTGAAGACTAAGGTGCACCTGACCCAAGCCATGGTATTTTCACTTGCCTTATATGCATGTGAGAGCTGGACAATGAATATGGAAGACTAAAGAAGAGTTGATGCTTTTGAGTTGTGGTGTTGAGGACCATGGACTGCCAAAAGAAGTAACAGATTTGTCCTGGAAGAAGTGTAGCTGGAATGTTCCTTGGAAGTGAGAATGTCCAGGCTTCGTCTCACCTACTTTGATCATGTTGTTAAAAGGGACCATTCTCTGGAGAAGGATTTCATGCTTGATAAAGTGGAAGGTTATTGAAAAAGGGGAAGGCCTTCAACAAGATGGGTTGACACAGTGGCTGCAATGATGGATTTGTTTATAGCAGGGATCATGAGTCTGGCCAGAGGACTGATGTGTTGTTCTGTTGTACATAGTGTCTCTATGTATTGGAGACAACTCAACACCACCTAACAATAATCAAAACAAAAAGGTTCTGAGATCAGGAAGTGTGAGGCCTTTGTTCTTCTTCAGTAATATTTTACTTATCCAAGGCCTCTTGCCTTTCCATATAAAGTTGATGATTAGTTTTTTCATCTCTGTAAAGAATGATGATAGAATCTGCATCAGGATTACATTATATCTATAGATTACTTTAGATAGTATTGACATTTTCACAATGTTAAATTTTCCTATCTATAAGCATGGCATGCTTTTCTATTTATGTAGGTCTTTTTTTTGTTTCTTGCATTAGTGTTTTGTAATTTCCTTTATTAAGTCTTTGATGTCCCTTGGTGACATATTCCTAAATATTTTTCCTTCCGTGGCTATTGTAAATGGTATTGTTTTCCTGATTTACTTTTGGAGTTCTCTTTATTAGTGTAGAGTAATCTAACTGACCTTTTATGTTGATCCTGTATCCTGCTACTTCACTGAATCCTTCTATTAGTTTCAGTAGCTTTCTTGTGGTGTCTCTGGAATTTTCTATGTATAGGACTATATCTTCTGTGAATAGGGATAATTTTACTTCTTCCTTACTAATTAGGATGTCTGTTATTTCCCTTTCTTGTGTTATTGCTCAAAACATATACATCCAATCTCATGGAAATAACCCATATCACAGCCTGCTTAAACCACTCAGAATTGTGGTTCAGCCAAGTTGACACACAGCTCCAACTGTCACACCTATGATGAGACTGGCAATCAACTCCATGGTGGAATCTTCTGTGAGCAGCTGAGTAGCTGCCTTAGGGATGTGGTCTGTTTCCAGTATATAAAAAACAGCTTTGAGAAAGGTCTCTGAGCTTTTTGGCACATCTGGATCTTGCATATAGCTGAGTCTTCATGTCAGTGGCTCGCCATTTTGTCTGCTGATCTTGGGACTGTTTCTGGACTTGAACTAGTGGACTGCCGTGTTGTTTGGTAATCCTGGGACCGTGCCTTTTTACTTGTTGACCTTGGGTTTGTCAGCCTTAGCATCCAGCAGCTACCTGACTTAAGAGACACCTACAGTTCCAGTGGGCCAGGAGCAAAAGGCAGAGCTGAAGCCCATGGTGGAGGGGCCTTCCCCCAGGCCCTAGAACTGGCACATTGAATGTGGACTTGTAGCCTCCAAAACTGTAAAAGAATAAATACCTGTCTGTTAAAGCCTGTGGTATTTTCTGTTAGAGTGACACTAGAGAGCCAAAACAGTCATGATGTATTATTTTTTGGATATATGGTTGAATTCTTTTGGCTCAAACTTTGTTGAGAATTTATGTGTCTGTATTCATGAGGGACCTTGTTCTCTAATTTTCTGTTTTAGTGGTGTCTTTTCCTGGCTTTGGTATCAAGGTTATGCTGGCTCTGTAGCAATGAATTCAGAAGTATTCCTTCATTTTTTGTGTTCTGGAATAGTTTGAGTAGGGCTGGTGTCAGCTATTCTCTGAGTGTTTAGTAGAATTCTCTAGACAAGGTGTCTTATCCAAAGCTTTTTCTGTTGTTCTTCTCTCATCTTTATTATTTTCTTTCTTCTGGTGACTATAGGCTTCTTTTGCTGCTTTTTCTGTTTGTGTGTGTTGTCCGGTTAAGGTAATTACTTTGATCTTTTTTTTTTTTCTGATGTTCACGTTTATTGTCATAAATTGACCCCTGAGCACTGCTTTTACTGTGTCCCAAAGGTTTTGATATGTTGTGTTTTAATTCTAAGGATTTTTAAAATTTCGTCTATTATTCTTTTTTTTTTTTTAACTTTTTATTGTGATTTGGGTGAAAATTTACAGAGCAAATTGGTTTCCCATTCAGCACGTCAGACAAATTTTGTTTTGTGACATTGATTACAATCCCTACAATGTAATAGCATTCTTCTCACTTTCTCCCTGTCATTACCATTTCCCTTTATCCTTCTTTGCTATCCCTTTCTGCCCTCTGAGCTTTATCCCTAGGCAAATGGTGCCCTTTCGATCTCTTGTTGATTGTTCTGAGGAGTGTGTTCCTCCCTGATGTTATTATTCACCTTATATACCTGACTGTTGTTTGGCTGAATGTTGAGCCTTGGGAGTGACATCAGTTCCAGGTTTAAAGAGTGACTAAGGGCCATAGTCTCAGGGTTTCCACCAGTCTCTATCAGACCAATAGGCCTGGTTATTTTTATGATTTTGAGTTTTGTTCCACATTTTTCTCCCACTTTATTCAGTATCTCCTAATGTGATCAATTTCAGAGTAGTTGGCAGTGGTAGCTGGGCACCATCTAGTTCTTCTGGTCTCAAGGTCATGGAGGCTGAGGTTCACATGGTCCTGGTCCCTTGGACTAAGTGTATTCATGCATTTTTTATTTTCTTCATTCTTTTTTTGCTCAGGATGAGGAGAGACCAATAGGTGTTAATAAGGTATGATTGCTTGATTTATTATATGTTTGCTTATATGTTGTCTTGGTTTTTTGTTTTATTTTGTTTTGATATATCTAGGCAGGCAGGGTGGGTATGCTACACTGGTCCCTAGTCTGGCAGCACTGCCGTGCTCACTACCTGCCTCCAGGTGGGCAAAAGCAGTGTCTGGCAGGGTAAACAAGAGTGTGTGCTCTGCTTAGCCAGGATGGGGGGATGGGGTTGGTGGACTCACAGGAACATGGTCTCTACCACTCACTATGTTGAGGGGGTGGGTGGTAAGTGGGCAGGTGTGCAGAAGTATGGATGCCACTGTTCACCGGGTCAAGGGGATGGAAAGTGGGCCGGTGGGCATGTGGAATCTTCCCCTGACCAAGTACAATAGGGATGGCTGCTCAGAGTCCAGTTGGAACAAGGACTTCCCATTGACAATCCATGGATCTGTTGCTTTATGCATACCACCCACTTTAATGGTCGGGTACCACTCCTTGTGGTATAGCTGACTGTGGATGCTTGCTCCCTCCCTACTCTGTGAACGCTAGGGTCCCTGGAACTCTCACCCTCTTTCATGTGCTTTCCCTCCTCAGATCTGGATCGTGTTCTGCTCACCTTGCTTCTCTCTGGGTCTTCCTGTGCTCCTTTCCCATGGTCACCACTGGGTTTGTCTCAAGATGGCCACACTGGACCAGGATGGCTGGCAGAGCACCTCTGCTCCATATCACTTATCATTCACTGCATTCTTTCCATTTCTTCTGCCAGTTGGTGTTCAGTTCTGTTCTTTTCCCTCCCATTAGATGTTCAGGGTTCTAGGATTGTCACCTTTATCTGTTTCACTTAGTTTCTCGGGTTTTTGCTGTAAGGAGACGGCATGGTGTGTCTGACCAGTCAGTCCACCATCTGGGCCCACTCCTCAGGTTTGCTTTCTTAAATGAGGTTTGATTTAACCTTGTTTAACTTCTGTGAGAAAATGATCACTAACTTAGAGTGTTAGAAGATATAGACCGAGTTCCTTTTCACTTGGGTCTATGAAAACATGGTAGGTATGGAACAACGGGGTCAAATTTTCCTATCAGAAAATCTGAGTTACCAAAAGAAGAATGTTTTCCTTGATTTGAAGTCATTTTACACTAGTATTCATAGACACGATAGGGATGATCAGCTTGATTCAATCTCGTTGAAATACTCAGCTACTAATAATCATGGGTCTCCCAATCCAAACTTAAGACTTGAAGTATCTCTCTGTTAGGATATTTTGGATTTGTTGAGCACATTCCCACAGGTTAGAATGATTTACTTTAATCCTTCTAAGTAATTTGATAAAGGACACACTGCCCTTGAGATACGGAACTTTGATCTAGCTGTGGCCTATTGTGAACCATATATAAAAACTTCTCAAAGTATCGTGTGGATAATGGTATGCTGGCTACTACCTCAGATGATTCTATTATCAATTTTTACTACATCTTAAATTTGAGTTTTATTTATATTGTTTTTTATTATGTAGTTATTAAGAAAAAACAAGTAAATTTAAGTAGAACAGGGCCATTAGAAATCGCTAATACATACCTAACTTGGTATGTGTTAGAGTAGCATGTTTAGACATGGGTCTGATGAATCAGATAGTCTCTAAGTTCACGCAACAATTCATTAATTGTTGGATGCTGCCGTGTGTCAGGCATTGTTCTAGAATGAAGAAAAAAAAAATCCCTGCCTTCAAATAGACAGAATGGTAAACTATATGATATATCAGATCACGGTAAGTTCAAAGGAGGAAAGAAAATGATGGGAAGATAGATGGGTTCCTAGTCCAAGTTCTGTATCCTCCATATTAGTATCTTCATGTATTTCTGAGGGCAGGAAAGGCTGTATTATGTGGAAGGAGCGGAGCCTTTTCAGTGTAGACTTGGCTTTCAATTCCAACTCTGAAGGCAGGCAAGTTACTTAACCTCATCTGTAAAATGGGGATAATGATTAAACCTATTTACTAGGGTTATTACAAGTATTACAGGAGGAAATGTATAGAAATCACTCAGCACAGGGCCTAGCATAAAGAAAGGGCTCAGTCAATGCTAACTACTACTATTACTGTTATTAATAAGTTCAATGCTAGGTGCCTCAGAGTCCCTGGTCCTGCTCCTTGTACCCCAGGCTTCAGGCTGGGGCCCTACTATCAGTGGCCACGTTGTCTGGAAGCCTGACAGGGATCCACTGACTTTGTGCCCTGGAACCTCATCTTTCATGCCCTGTCCACTGGATCAAGCATCTGTCTTCACTACCTTTGCTTGCCCCAGCTATACTGGACCTTGATACAGCCTTTGGACAGTGTTCCTGCAACAGAGTAGCACAGACATTTTGGCTCTTTCTCTCTTTCAGTTACTCAGTACATAGTGCACATTCAGTAAATTTCAACTGACAGGTTTCTGAACAGCAGGCAACTTGTTGTTTTACTTTAAATTCAATACATTTTTAAAGGCACATAAATAAGCAGAGTAAAATGCTTTCTGTGGAAGTCCTGTATTTGGCAAAGAGGGTTCTATGTGTGTATGTATGTATATTCTTGGTATGTGTATCTAAGTATGGAGAATATCTGTCTTCTGAAAGTGTCTCCTTTATTTAAATACTTCTTAATAATCCCTTGTCTTGTGAAATAATGTTTCTTTAGTAGAGAGAAGTTTATCTTTTATGAGTTTGACAATTTTTTTTTTGTCTTTTATAAAGGAAAAGACCAAAGTTGTGGAGCCCCTGGACTATGAGAATGTTGTCACTCAGAGAAAAACCCAGATTTACAGTGACCCTCTCAGAGACCTGCTTATGTTTCCAATGGAAGATATATCTGTGAGTTCACAAGCACTTGTATACAGAACTGCATAGCCCAAATCAGTTCTCAAAGCAAAAGTGTTCTTTTTCTTCTAGATCTCGGTGATAAATCGGCAACATAGAACAGTGCAGTCTACTGTACCAGAAGATGCTGAGAAAAGAGCCCAGAGTTTGTTTGTCAAAGAGGTAAGAGGCTCAGAAGTCACAGAATATTAATCATGCACTTGAAATCTTTTCCCTTTAATGTCAATGGAAAATAAAATTACTGATCTACGTAACAGATCTGCATAATGTGATAAAGAGGATGCAGTTTAAACATTTTCCCAAATATACTCTTAGTTTTTTCTTTTGGATTTGTGTGCTCCCTGGACATCAGAGTTTTCAAAAGGGCATATGAATTGGGGTTGATTGTAGCCAATTGCTTTAGAGAGAACACCAGTATTTCCTAAAGGAAGAACCCAAGTACCAACATTTCCCAAATGGTTTTTAAAAAAGCTTGTCTGCTAATTACCAGACTTGGAAAAAAAAAAAGTAGGTATATGCATACTTCTCCTGTATTTAAAATTGAAGATTCATGTTTTCTTTTAGTGTATTAAGACCTACAGTACAGATTGGCATGTGGTAAACTACAAGTATGAAGACTTCTCTGGAGACTTTCGGATGTTGCCTTGGTAAGGTTAGAATTCAAGAAAAGTATTTAAAAGCAGAACTGTTAAACTTTTTATTTTTTTTTAAACCTCTTATGAAACCTCTCAGTTAAAATTTTAATAAAACAAAACCTCAAATAACTAGCATATTTAGTAAATGGAGTATTCTGGTTAATTTTGAATACATTTTAAACTTGCTCCTTGAAATTCTTCCCAAAATGGCTGAGCTCAGTTTTTGGATTTGGTGCATGTATACTGACCAGCGGTCAGTGTAGATTAAAAGCTAAAAGATATTTGGCTCAATTTGACCGCAGGACATTGCTTGGGCAAAGAATTTAATTAAATTTTTCTTATTATGGTGAGTACATATCAGGACTTTGAACTAGTTCAAAATCATGGTTGACGCAGCGAAATCAGAACAGACCTGAATTTGTAAAATGTGGGTGTACCAGAATGGGAGAAAATACATGTCAAAACCCTGGAATGAGAGGCTCAAAAGAGGCATAGTGAGCCCTTTCAGGAACCTGATGTAGGAGATTGGGTTATTTATTACCAGGACTGTGGAGAATGACACACATTCACAGCAGTGCAATCAGCCACCATCTTTGAGCTGAGCACCATTGTTTTGGACTCTGCTGATCAAGAGATTTGATTGCTGTGCAACACACATTCTACCCTTATTTTCTAAGAGGGAAATTAAGTTTCTAGCAGGGTGTCAACCCTTAATTTTTCCTGTTCTGCTTATTATTCCAGTATACCCACATTTTACAAATTCAGGTCTGTTCCAGTTTCACTTTGTGAAACTTCATGACAGAACCAGGAAGAGCTGGTTCAAAGCCCTGATACATTTATTTGTGTCTGACTTATTTAACTCAGCATGATGTTTTTAAGGTTCATCCATGTTGTAGCATTTATCAGGACTTAATTTCTCTTTATGGCTGACCAAAGCTCCATTGTATGTATGTTCCACAGTTTGGTTATCCATTGGATATCCACATTCTAATGGTAGCATGCCTTATTGTTACTTGTCTCTTTCTCCTAAACTTTCAATGCTGAAAATTATTCTTGGTAACTGAGAGTTCTAGTACAATAACTGCCAAGCGTAGTGGGCCCTCAAAGCACTTCTGCAGTCAACCTGTATGTGGCCTGCCAATCATTCTTCAGGATCTGCAGTGACAGCTCGACCATGTGGTTTGCTAGTGCCTGTACCACACTTTCAGAGGCATATAGCAATGGTGAATGCTTCCTGCTTCCAGTACAGTCTATCTACCCAGAAGTACAGAGATGATTACACATATATGTGGTTTTTGCATCAGCTTGGAGGGCTCTTTTTTGTTATTAAAAAGATCTGTCATTTTAATTACTTGTCACCTCATAATACTTCTGCCTTTTTTTCCTTTTGTATTAGCACCATCAAGTTACCAGATATACTGTTCATTAAACCTTGCTCCTGGCATGGATTCTCCATTTTGGAGATAGATTTAGTAATATTTCAAATATCACTTCCTATTGTTCTTCAGTTACCATGCTATTTTTTAGGTACAGAGGGACATGCTGTCAAAAGTGCACATCTCTTTCAGTTGGGTTGAAGGACTGCTGTGAGCAGGCTGGCCCAGGAGCCAGACTGTTGGTGTTCAGATCTTACTTTTGCTGCTTACTGGCTGGATGACCTTGGGCCAGCCACTCAACCTGTTTGTGCCTCCCTTTTCTCATCGACTACTGCTAACCTCACAGGGTTGTTGTTGTTGTTGTTATGTGCCGTCGAGTCGGCCCCGACTCATAGCGACCCCTCCTTGGGTTTCCGAGGCAGTATCACTACGGAAGTAGGATTGCCCAACCTTCCTTCTGAGGAGTGGCTGGGGGGTTCGAACTGCCAGCCGTCTGGTTAGCAGGCAAGTGTCTTAGCCACTATGCTACCAGAGCTCCCAACCTCACAGGGTAGTATATATGAAATATTTGGCAAAGAATATTAGAGAAATAAGACATTCATACACCTTTTTATAGTTTTCAAAGCACTTTCCCAGAGGAGAAAACTTGAGTCCAAAAAAGCTAAGATGACCAGTCCAGGGTCATACAGAGAACAAATGAGAGAATCAGGATTCCATTGTTGCTTTTTATAAAATACACTTTATTTATTTATTTATTTTAAAGCGACATGAATCAATGCATTTTGTTTTGTTTTGTTTTGCAGTGTTCTCTCCTCTCCCCTCCCCTCCCACCCCTGGTAGTCAACAAAGGAAGTTTCCTTCCCTATATAAACATTTCCTTGACCCTTTACAATAACGAACTGATACTATATTTGTCCTTCTACAATTGACTTATTTCACTCAGCATAATGTCCTCCAAGTTCATCCATGTTTTACAGTATTTTTCAGGTACTATGTTTCTCTTTAGTGTTGCATAGTATTCCAATGTGTGTCTATACCATAGTTTGGTTATCCAGTCTTCTGTTGATGGGCACATAGGTTGTTTCCATCTTTTTGCTATTGTGAATAGTGCTATGATGAACATGGTTGTGCATATATCTGTTCTTGTCCTGGCTCTCACTTCTTTCAGATATATACCTAGTAATGGGATTGCTGGTCAAATGGTATTTCTAATTCCAGCTTTTTAAGGAATCGCCACACTACTTTCCATAGTGGTTGTATCATTTGACAGTCCCACCAGCAGTGAAAATACACTTTCTTTTTTAGTGCAGTTTTAAGTTTGTAGAAAAATTGCTCAAAGTAGAGAGTTCCCATCTACCTCCTCTTACCCCTGCACAGTTTCCTCTATTATTAACATCTTGTATTCATGTGGTACATTTGTTATAATTGGTAACATTAATATTAACTAAGTCCATGGTTTATATTAGGGTTCACTCTTTCTATTGTACAGATCTATAGGTTTTAACAAATGCATGCTGTCATGTGTCAACTGTTACCGTAACATACAGAGTAGTTTCTCTTACCTGAGCATGCCCTGTGCATCACCTACTTATCCCATTCTCCCTCACCCTGAACCCCTGGTACCACTAGCCTTTCTACTGTCTCTCTAGCTTTTAAGCTCTCTAGCTTTCAAGGAGCTCTGGTGGTGCAGAGGCTAAAAGCTAAAAGGTTGGCAGTTCGAGCCCACCACCCACCACCTGCTCTGTTGGGGAAAGATGAGGCAGTCTGCTTCTGTAAAGATTTACAGCCTTGGAAACCCAGTCAGTGGTTCTACTCCATCCTGTAGATCCTGTAGCGTCGCAATGAGTCGGAAACAACTCAGTGGCAGTGGGTTGCTCTAGCTTTGGCTTTTCCAGAATGTCTTGTCTTTTCAAACTGGCTTCTTTCACTTAGCAGGGTGCATATAAGTGTCCTCTATGTCTTTTTTATTTTGATAGCTGTTTTTATCATTGAGTAAAATAGCATTGTATGGATGTACCATAGTTTGTTTAGCCACTCACCTATTGAAGGATGTCTTAGTTGCTTATGTTGCTGTTTGACCTGGGGAAGGAGACTCTGCCACCAATAGCACTTCTGGCCACATTCCTTGCCAACTTCTGTACTCCCTGACTAGGCATTGAGTATCTGGGCTGGCTTCTTTACTGCTGGCAGCACATGTGGGAGACCTTATAGAAAGTAAGTTAATCAGAGGGGAGAATCTACATTTGGAAAGGAGAAAATGATTTCTCCTTCTTATGTCTTGGCATTTTCTTGTGTATGACAGAATCAAGTCTATAAGCCTTGTATTGTTTCGTTCATGGCTTTGTTCCTTTCTTCTGTTTAGTGTCTAAGATAGTTCTCTTGCATTTTCAGCAAATCTCTGAGACCAGAAAAGATTCCCAATCATGTATTTGAGATTGATGAGGACTGTGAGAAAGATGAGGTAAGTATATAGGGGCAATTACACAGGTTTCTTCAAGGTTACCTCTGCTGAGAGAGATTCCAAAGGGAATTCCTTGAGAAAAGATGAGGAAAAGAATTGAGGAATTGGATTTTTTGAATGATCTGTGGCCAGCTTTCAAACTGAGTGTTCTAATTTTTTTAAAATTGTTTCATTTCCAAATGGGATTTAGGAAAAATCAAGTAAAAAGGGCTGTGATTTGTATGTAAACACATTCCCCCACTCATGGGATGTGGTTGTGAAGTTGCCTTTCCTGCATTGGGCATGTGGTATGGTGATTCATATGGACTCTCCTGTCTGATTGATCCCTCCTGGAACAGATGGCCTGGATTCCTGTGACATTTCGTACTGCATTTAGACTGTGTACATAATGCAGAAGACCTTCCCAGAAGAGAGCCCATATGATTCAGTAAATATCTGAAGTGCCTACTGTGTGCACAGCGCAGAGCCTTTCATTGTGTAGTCAACACTTTCAGGTTTAATCAGGCATTTTTGTAGGGGGAGGGGGGCTTTGTGCTTTAATTAGGAAAGGGACAGCACTTAGTACCACGTCCCCCATATATTTGACTGATTAGCTGGCTGGATGGTTGCTGTTTTACTGATGGTTTCTGCTCTGTTTCAGGACTCATCTTCTTTATGTTCTCAGAAGGGTGGTATGATAAAACAAGGCTGGTTGCATAAAGCAAATGTGAATAGCACCATCACAGTTACCATGAAGGTAGGAAATAGTTATATCATTTCATTATTTTAAGGATATTGGCATAAATAGCCTGTGTAGAATGGCCAGACTTCATCTCCCCTACTTTGGTCATGTTGTCAGAAGGGACCATTCCCTGGAGAAGGATATCAGGCTCGGTAAAGTGGAGGGTCACTGAAAAAGGGAAGACCCTCAACGAGATGGGTTGACACAGTGGCTGCAATGATGGCCTCGGATATAGCACAGATTGTGTGGCTGGTGCAGGACAGGGCAGTGTTTCATTCTGTTGTACACAGGGTCGCTGTGAGTCAGAGCCAACTCAAGGGCACCTGACAACAACAGAAACAGTATTTATTTTTAAATGAATTCTAGCAAAAAAAAATGTTTCTTTAATAATTTTAATATCTGAAACCTCAGGATGAATTAAGAAGTGCAACTTTTTACAGAAATGTAATTGTTATCCTCTGAATCATGAACTTTATAAAGGAGGCTGGCTGTCAGTTGAATGAAGAAAATAGCTCTGGAAAAAGAAAAAAGAACATGAAAGGTTCCTTTGATAGGAGTTAAACATAATGAGTAGAAAGGTAGGGTAACCCATTTACTTAGCAAAAAGTAGTTAGGTGCTTACTAAATGCTGGTCACTCCGGGGAAATACATGGATGTCTAAGAGAGGGCCCCTGGCCTCCAGTGGTCTCCAGTTTAGATTAGAAATGTACCAGATTAACTACTGTGTGAAACAGTATATTAATGCCTTCAGAATAACCTAGCTAGAATGTTTTATAGTTTGGCCAGAATACTGGGTTTGTGTAAGGGGTGTGTGGGAGACAAAGATAGAAACATAGGAAGGAATAAACTCATGCAGGGCCTTGAATATTTTGGATGTGAGGTAGGCTTTTGTTCAAGAGGCCATAAAAAGACATTAAAACCCAAAGGGAAAAATAACAAGCTACTCAATGATTTTGAGCAGAAAAACAAATTATTCTCTGATACCAAATAAAGCTATTCTTTCAAATATTCAGTATAAGATCGTGTGTTTCACTGAGGATGATTCACACTTTCATTAGGTACTGAAGGTCATTCTGTCTTTCACATGGCAGTGCAAGCAGAAACCATGGATGTCTTCTGGGTGTCTACCAAGGGAAGAGTCAAATTTTATCTTAAGATCTTACCTACTAATTTCTCTTCAGTGGTCATGACCTGTTCTCATTTTCAAGCCCTGAAAATAATGAATTGAAGCTGTTGAATGCTTAGTTATATGTCTCCTGCATGAACCTTAGCATGTGATGATAAAAGAAATCATATATTGAGGACTTAGTATGTACCAGGCATCAGTTGCCTCATTTGCATGTGAAAGCTGGACAATGAATAAGGAAGAGTGGAGAATTGCTGCATTTGAATTACGATGTTAGAGAATATTGACTATACCACAGACTGCCAGAAGAACTAAGAAATCTGTCTGGGAAGAAGTACACCCAGAATGCTCCTTAAAAGCAAAGATGGCAAGACTTCATCTCATTTTTACTTTGGATAGGTCATCAGGAGGGTCTAGTCTCTGGAGAGGGATATCATGCTTGATAAAATAGAGGGTCAGGAAAAACAGGAAGACCCTCAATGAGACGGATTGATGCAGTGGCTGCAACAATGGGCTCAAACATACCTAGTATTGTGAGGATGGCACAGGACCAAGTAATGTTTTGTCCTGTTATACAGGGTCATTATGAGTCAGAGACAACTGGACAGCACCTAACGACAAGAGGCTTTGTACTAAATGTCTTATAGTTAGTATTCCATTTAATCTTCATGGCAGTCCTATGAGATAGATCCAATCATTATTTTAAGTTTACACATGTAGAAACTGAGGCACAAAGAACTTCAATAACTAAAGTTTTCAGAGGTGGGATTTACACCTAGGCAGGCTAATACTAGAACCTGTGCTCTTCAGTAGTACTCGATAGGTGCTCACTAGCTGGTTGAGACTCAAGGCTTTATAATAGCATATCTTCTATTAGGGTTATCAGGTTCAGAAATTCATGTGTGAAGGTTATAATTCTATGCAGATGTTTTGGTTCTCTAGTGCTATTATAACACACATAACCACAAGTGAACAGCTTTAACAAACAGGAGTTCATTCTTTTTAGTTTATGAGACTAGAAGTCCAAGTTTAGAAGCCAGCTCTGGGGGCTGGGTGAAGGCCCCTTGACATTGGGCTTCAGCTCTGCTTCTGCTCCCAGCCCACTGAAGCTGGAGGCTTCTCTTAATTTAGGCAGCTGCTTGCTGCGAGGCTAACAAATCCAAGGTCCACAAGTAAAAAAGGCACAGTCGCAAGATTACCAAACAACATGGCAGACAAACTAGTTCAGGTTCAGAGACAGTCCCAGACACAACATGACAGGCCACTGAGATGAAGACTCAGCTACATGCAGGATTCAGATGTGCCAAAAAGCTCAGAGACCTTTCTCAAAGCTCCTTCTTAGGTACTGGAAACAGACCACATCCCTAAGGCAGCTATTCAGCTGCTTACAGTAGATTCTACCTTGGAGTTGATTACCAGTCTTATCATGGGGAATAACTACTTCCAGCTGCCCAGCCACTCAAAACAGGCCTAGCCAAGTTGACATACAACTACCACACACACACACACACACACACACACACACTCCACGTTCACACTAGAGCTGTGTTTTAGGGTAAATGGTTATTCTATCAAAATAAGTTATTTCCTCTGAGGAACATTTTTGACTGCCTCGTTGAAGTGTTACCCTGATTTCCAAATCATATATTAAATAAACTTCAAATTCTAAAAAAGAAAGAAAAAGATATATGATCTGCCCCGTTTTCTGTAGTTGTCATTATTTTCCCAAAAGCACTTGCTCAGAATCCCCAGTGTTGGTTGAGAAACTTACCCCCATTGAACCCAGGCTACAGGAGAGCTGTGAATGATACACATCACTCCACAGGTCACACTTCACATGCCCCAGCACTTCTTTTCATTGAGGAAGCTATTAGCATTGTACAGCATTTGCAAAAGTTCTGTTGGTTGTCTACAGTTAAGAGAACTACAGTGACCATTTTACTCAGTTTGTAATTTGCTTTATTCTTGATGTTCTTATTAAAACAGGACACGCCTTATCATTAAAAAAAAAAAAAAAAAAAACCACTGCCGTTGAGTTGATGTGATTCATAGTGACTCCCATTGGGTTTCCAAGATGGTAAATCTTCATGAAAGTAGACTGCCCCATCTTCCTTCCATGGAGTGGCTGGTGGGTTTGAACTACTAACTTCTGGTTCATAGTCAAATGCCTTAGACACTGTGCCACCAGAGCTCCTTTGACATATATTTAATTTCCTTAATTTGTAATTTCTGGTTAATAATAACACCCCTCCCTCATTGCCAGTCTTCAATTCCTGGAAAAGTATTAGACGTTTAACATACCACAGAGAGTAAATGATTCCTTGGACAAACTGCAGCCTGAACAGAAACTTAATCATTTACATTCTCTCTTTATCAAGTAGCTGCTAGAGACATCTGCTTTCTTAAACTTCTTTCCATATCAGTGAAGGAATTTAATGTAGATGAGATAGGTATGATGTTGAACATGACCTTTCTCTGGTATTTAGCACTATTTTTCCTAAGGGATATATCTTAAGGGTGGTTTTATATATATTTTTTTAAAGAGGCTTTTTTTCATTAAAATAATAACAAAACCGTGCAGATTCTTGGCCAATCCCTGGGACACCTACCTTTATACATCTTCTTGGCTCAATTTTGTAACATTCCTATAACTCCTTCCTCCCGATTCTCAGCAATTAAATATTGAAGTGCCTTGGTTTGTTATCAGGGTTGCAAGTTCAACTGCTTGATATATGACTCACTTCTGATGCCCTTTCATATATATATATATATATATATATATATATATATATATAATTTTTTTGCACAAAAAACATGTTACATATGCAAAGTTCAACAGTCCTCACTAATTCTTGGACTGTTATGGCAGAGCCTCTCCCCCAGCCACAATGGGAAAACAAATCAAAAGAGCATTATACTTAAGAAAGCACACACGACATTAAAAAAATTTGCTGGAATGCCAAGGTCACTATGTTTATTGGAACAAAAGGAAGAGTAAATCCTTTCATCCAATTTTCTACTGAACTCTATCTGACTCTCATAGTTTACAAATGGATTACACTCATTTAGGGGATTTCTCACTAACTTTTTTTTTTTGTCCTTTCATTAATTGGTCACTGTTTAAAAACCATTTACTGGATGCTTTCTATGTCCCAGATTCTATTAGAAATCAATGAATTTATCACCACATATGTATTGAATACTTTATTAGTACAAGGAGCAAGCTTTGTGGAGGATAGAGAGAAGGGTAAGAAGTGAAACTCAAAATCTACTTGATGTAATATACATACAAACCCAAAATAATCTTTTAAAAGACAGTCCTGAAACCAAGTGCTATATGAGTCCAGATCTTTGTGGCCTAAGCTCAAAGAAGACTTCTTGAAGGAGGTGGGGCCTCAAAAGACCAGTGCCAGTTGCCTATTGAATCAGTTTCAGCTCCTGGAAATTCTATGTGTATCAGAATATGTTTTGGTTACCTAATGCTGCCCTGACAGGAATATACTACAAATGGGTTTCCTTTAACAAACAGGAGTTTATTCTGTTACAGTTTTAGAGGCTAGAGTTCAAAGTGCCAGGCTCCAGGGGCTGGGTCAGAGCCCTTCACCCTTGGGCTTCAGCTCTGCCTCTTGCTCCTAGCCTGTTGAAATTGGAGGCGTCTCTTAACTCAGGTAGCTGCTGGCTGCTGAGGTTGACAAACCCAAGGCTGACAAAAAAGCACAGTCCCTGATAATTCTAAACCACACAGCAGGCCATTGATTGAAGTCCGTTGAAAGTCCCAAGATTGGCAAAGCATGGGAGGCTGTTCAATGAAGACTTGGCTACATGCAGTGTCCAGGTGTTCCAAAAAGCTGTAGCCCATTCCCAGAGCTTCGCCTTATATACAGGAAAC